CGTGAAGTGCTTTGCAAATCTTAACACATTACATAAATGCTAGTGGATATTATTAGGTGGCTTGGCTACATGGGTAATAAGCATATGAGGTGGGAAGTGATTCTAGAACCAATGCTCTTTCTGCTGTATCACAGTAACTCCCTCCACTCACAAGGATGGAGTATCAAAAACATGGCAGAGGGAATCCTTTGTACAAAGTGAGATGGAAGTCATGAGGCTCAAAGAGGTAACACTCTGGTCAATATTTATATTAACAAGTATTTGGCACACAATAATGTTTGCTTAACAGATGCTCACTGAATGAATGAATCAATGAATGGATGAATGACCTGTGATGTGAGCGAGATTCCCCTGGACATCATGAAGTCCAATCCTTACTTTTATCTCTGGTCTCCCAAAGAATAAATTGAGGATCAGGCTAAGGAGCTGCCTCTAGAGAAATGAAGTATGACAGGTCTTGATGTTGCTTTGAAGATTGGGTTCTGGTTCATAGAAACCCTTGGTTTTCATCAGGGTACCAGGTCTGCAAGCTAATCTCTCATTTTGCACAGTTTGGTTCTGGCTCCCTGTTCCAGATGCTGATCACTTCCAAACAGCTGCCAATGATTAGATACCATTCCTGCTGTTCTCATTTCTTTTTGGCTCTTCTGCTGGCCTAGTATGGCCCTCCTCCTCCACAGTTTATTTATTGCTGTCTTTGGTAGAGTGGATATAGAGAGAGGACAGAGATGCACATTTACAACTGCCTGCCAAGACTATAAGATGCCTTCATTTTTCCAAGTGAAAAAGCCTGGGATAAGATATCAGTCTATACTTTATCAGAGCAGGGGCCTGAGCTGGGAAAATACACAATCAAACTAGCCTGGCTGCTGTTTAGTCTGAGTCTTTCAGAGGCTTAGATGTAATTATTTTGCTCTTAACATGTAAACATGTCTGGCTTTAGGTTAAGGACCTCAAAATATTTCAGCAAAATTGGTCTGAGAAATCCTTCCTAGCAGAAGATACAATATAATCACGGATCAATCAATCAATTAATAACCATTTATTAAATGTCTACTTTGTGCCTGGCACTGTGCCAGGTGCTGGGGGTGCAGAGAAAGGAAGGAAACATTTCACTAAATGCTTGTGCTAGGCAATGAGCAAAATGTTTTTACAGATATTTCATTTAATTCTCACGACAACACTGGGAGGTAAATGCTATTATTATCCCCATTTTATAGTTGAGGAAACTCAGGTAAACAGAGCTAGGATCATACTGTTGTAAGTGTCTGAGGCTGGATTTGAACTCAGGTTTTCCTGCTCCAGGTCTAGTGTTCTATACATCGTACCACCTAGCTACCAAAGACAAAGACGAAACAGTCTTTGCCTTCAAGGAGCTTCTATTCGATTGGAGGAAACAATACGTACAACTATATAACATGTACAGGTGTTGTTGAAATGACTACCTATGGAGTCCAAGCTGGGTATATGTATATTAGGCACTCTTTGAAGGGCCCAGCTGCATTGGCTCCTTGCTTTCTCACATACAACATTCCCTCTCCCATCTCCCAGTTTTTGCCTGGAAGGCATTTTCTCCTCATCTCTGCCTCTTAAAATCCCTGATTTCCTTTGAAGTGAGCTCAAGATGAGGTCTTTCTTAACTCCCCCAGCTTCTAGTGCCTTCTTCTTCCAATTTATATTGTATTTATATTGCCATATGTACACATCTCCCCCAAGAGGATGTAAGTTCTCTGACGGCAAGAACTGATTCTCTCTCTCTCTCTCTTTGCCTCTGTCTGTCCCTCCCCACCCCACCTCATAATGTGAGCACCCAGTACTTTTCCTGGGACACAGTGGGTGCTAAATAAATACTTGTTGATATATGGACATAACTTGGGCATTCACTCATTTCCTAAGCTATGCAAGGTACAAAACTGGCTCCTTTCCCTAGCCTGAAAGGCTCACAGGTTTAGAGTTGGAAGGGGGCTTCCAAGTTACATAGTCTAACCCCCTCATTTGAGAGATGAGGAACCTGAGACCTAGAGCAACTACACACAGCTTTCACAGGTAGCATGGAGTAGGGACCAGGGTTCAAGATCATCTGCTTTGGCTCCAAACCACGCATTGTCCACTGTAAGAAAACTTGAAATAGGTAATAATAAAGATAACTTATTAAGATTTCAGGTTCACTGAAGATGGGGATTGTTGCTATTAGCCTTTGTATGTTTCCCAATGTGCTTGAATATAATGGATAGTCACCAAATATTTGTGGAATGCAAAATTTTTTAAATGGAGATTATAGCAACCACCAACCTCTCCCATTTGGCCACTGTGGACTTCCAGAGAAGTAAAGTAGGAAAGCTCTTTGATCACTGTCAAATACTAGACAAGTATAGAGCATTATTCATTCTGAATCACAGAATTGTAGTGTGGAAAGAGACCATAATAATTATCTAGTCCAGTATTCTTATTTTATAGGTAGGGAAACCAAGGTCCACAAAGACTAGATATCTCTCCTGAGATCATACAGTCACAGCTAACTTGTGGCAATGGTGTCACCAGGGCCCAACTCTGGAATTCTTTCCATGACCCTATGAAGCATCTCTGTATTTCATGTTCAGAAAACGTGGGTATTCTTCTTTACAGTAAACCAATGGTAATTCTCAAATAATCCCAGATCAGGAAGGAGGTAGATTCAGTTCTCCAAAGTTCATAAGATTGGAGGATTTTGAGCTGGAAGAGACATCGGGGATATATACTGGATTGACATGGGCTTTCCATTGGTGTGAGGTATTCCTAGGTGGTGAAAGTCCTGCCAATTCAGACATGCACCTTTTCTTCAGTCAGAATCTTAGAGAGTTGTCTGAGGCACACTGGAAGATTAAATGACTTACCCAGGGTCACACAGCCATCATGTGACACTGCCTCATTTAATCCAATATAGTCACATCACAGATAAGTAAACTGAGGCCCATTAAGGGGAAATAAGTTGTTCAAGGTCATATGCTGGGACTGAATAACAACATGTGTCAGGCACTGTGCTAAGCACTTCACAAATATCTCATTTAATCCTCTTAACAACTTTACAAGGTAGATGCTATTATTATTCTCATTTTAGGATTGAGGAAACTAAGGCAGACAGCTTCAAGTGACTTGCCCAGAGTCACGCAGCTAGTGAATGTCTGAGGCTGAATTTGAACTCCAGATTTAGCACTCTTTTAACACTGTGCCCCCTAGGCCTGGAGAGGTGAACTGACACACCAAGGTTTCACAGAGAAGTGAAAGAGCTAAACCTACTTCTTTAATTCCAAATCTCAGAGCCCTTTATCATTCTTAGAGTCCTATTGTTATCTTATCTAAACCAACTTTCCATTTATTCTGTGGTCTCTGCAAAGAAAAGGACTCATTAGCTTAGGTGGTTTGGAAGGAAGAATGAACTTCTAGCAACTGGGCAGAGCAAGGAGACCCTATTCAAGAGGATTATCTGGTCCTTCCTGGCTTCCATCCCCTGTCAAGACTCTTGAGGACATGCATCCATTCGTTCCTTGTCTTTTTATCCTAACATCTGGACTGACACAGAGTAGGTTCTTAAGAAATGCTTGATTGGACTGTAAGCTTATCTACATTTGGACTACTGAGATGTTTTCCTGATGATTAAAACATAACGTGGTGTGTAAGGTATAATGTGGGTAGCTATGTGGCACAGTGGATAGAGTGCCAAATCCGGAGTCAGGCCTCAGACACTACTAGCTATGTGACACTAGGCAAGTCACTCAATCTTGTTTGCCTCAGTTTCCTCATCTGTAAAATAAGCTGGAGAAGGAAATGGCAAAGCACTCCAGTATCTTTGCCAAGAAAATCCTAAATCGGGTCATGAAGAGTCAGACATGACTGAAACAATTAAACAACATCAACAACAAAAGCTATAACATGGCATAATTGAAAGAGCGCTTAATAGGCATTCCTATCTTACCTCAGCTACAGCCTAGCTATGTGACTTTGGGTAGGTCCCTTAACCTCTAGGGCCCTCATTTTCATTTGAATGGGTAGGACTAGGTGATCTCTCAGGTTCCCGACAGCTTTATCATCCTTTGATTTGATGACTCCCCTCCAGGTTATGACACAACAGGTTGTCTGTGGAAAGGAGGCTTGTAAAAATGGGTTCTGGGCTCTGGCATAAGATACCTTTTGGTGATAAGGTCTTTTACACATGGAATGAAAAGTCAATTTGGAAAATGGTGTCAAGGTGAATTCAATTCAATTCATTGTCATTTTCTTTGTATGTTTCATTGGTGTTGTATGGACATAATTATGGAATACTCTGGTCTCCAAAGAATTTTAATTAAGGATCACCCTCTAGGGCAATGAGAAGCACATGTTGGGTGTGAACTGGTTGTATTACATTACTAATGAGGGACTGTGTAGGAGAAGTAGGGTAAAGGATTTTGTCAGAGAAATGTAGGACTTGAAAAAAAGATAGGTTGACCTATCAATTAGCCAATCTGTAAGCGTTCCCTACTAAATACTTACTATGTGCCAAGTGTGGCCTTAGGTATTTGAGGATAGAAATGTAAAGGTGAGGCAGAACCTGTGCTCAGGGAGATAATAACCTACTAGGGAAAAGCAGTGTGCTATGATATATGCGAAGAACTTAAATTTAATGTAATCAAAGTTATCCATTTTGCATTTTGTAATGTTCTCTATCTCCTGTTTGGTCATGAATTCTTCTGTTCTCTATAAATCTGATAGGTAAACCATTTCTTGCTCTCTCAGTTTGCTTACAGTATCAGCTTTTATATCTAAATCATGAGCCCATTTTGACTTTATTTTGGTATATGGTGTGAGATTTTGGTCAATGCCTAGTTTCTGCCACATTCTTTTCCAGTTTTCCCAGAAGTTTTTGTCAAAGAGGGAGTTCTTATCCTATATGCTATGATATATGAAACAACATGGTGTGCTGGAAAGAGCTGAGTTCCTGTGCAGGCTTTACCACTTATTATCTCTGTGATTTCTTTTCTCAGTTTCCTCTGTGAAATGGCAGGGTTGGAGAAGATGACACCCAAGACCCT